TGATTTATTATTTATATATCTTTTTAAATCTTTAAATCATCATTCAAAATAGACTTACACAATTGTAAATCCATTTTTATCATCACCTTTTTTCAGGCTATAAATTTTGAAACTACCTGCAAGTTTATTTCAGTTTTATTCAGTGGCACTTGTTCCTCTTCAATAACACCTTCTGATTCTTCTGTAAAATTAAACAGCTCTGAGACTTCCTGGCCCATTCATCAAAAATTTCTCTTAAGGTAGCCATCTGGTGACTTCTAGTGTGCAACCTTCAAAGTCATCTTATCAGTTTATCACATATAAACAAAGACATTTTCCAATGAGAAAGGATCCTTTCAATTAGCTTCAAAGTCATAAATCATGTCTACCTGAGAGATGCACCTCCATTGAACTTAAAGTCCATACAGGTGACATTAGTAGATATAAGCATGATGAAATCCCGTGACTCCCAGCTAATCTCAAACTGACCACAAAAAATGCAGGTTCTGCTCCCTGCTTAAAATTTAAAACAGCTGTGCAGAGTCCATATGGGTAATCCTGAAATCTATCATTACACCGGAGAGATTACAGCAGCTCGAATCCTGCATTCAAGTGCCATTTCTGGATGCAATGTGTCCCACTATTGTAGAGGAACATCAGCTAGTCAAAATGGTTCACCAAAAGTATTTAGAGAAGAAATGTATTTGTTGTAGAAACACCTGAAATCTTACAGACAAGAACACCAAGCAAAAGAGATTGCAAGTATGAATAATAAGAACTACCATGAGTATAAATTGTAACCTGGTGAAATAAAATGTAGTTATCTATCTATCTATCTATCTATCTATCTATCTATCTATCTATCTATCTATCTCTTTCCTGTAAAGAGTACAATAGCTGCAGAATTCTCATAAATAACTTTGGTATACGGACAACAGATTTTGATCTATGTCAATAGACTATGAATATTCTACTTCAAAACTTGGAGAAACTAATAGCCATTCATGTACTAATCCAGGAATTGCATTCCTTTAAGACGACATCATCATCATCATCATCATCATCATCATCATCATCATCATATGTTGAAACTACTAGTTTGATGTGAAATCTTTCTTTGTAGGAAAGCAGAAGAGTGTCCCTTCAGACCTTCTCTCCCAGTATCCAGGGAAACAGCGGTCATTACACAGATCAACAGGAGGAACCTCTCTCTCTCTTTTATCTGTCTACCTATTTACCGATGTAGCTATCAATCTAACCTGGATTAAATGTATCCAATGTTTAAATAAGGTGTTGACAATACTACTAAGGGCAGCGTTTTTTCAGTTTATGGATTTTTCTGCCACCATCACAGAAATTAAGGGTTGAATTTTATTTGAACAAGATGATAGGGGGGGCCATTTTGTTTCTGAAAGTAATAAAACTTCATGAGGTCATTTTAGAGAAGAAATTTGGTCCTTTGTACATAAGCATCATTTTCTACGTGGTTAAAACCAGGGTGCCAAAGGATTGTGTTCTCCTCAATCGTGAGTTCTTTCCCTTTTGGAGCACTGAAATATAACATTCCAACTTTTACTCTCTGAAAGGATCCATTTGGAAAAGTGATCATGTTGACAGTGTCAAAGCCACCTGGACCTTCTCTTTTGTCTTTAAAGAAGACTTTTCTCCAGCTGAGTTGTTAAAAGAAATCCCTTGAAGAAACTTGTGGAGCTACATGAAGAAGGATGAGAACAGGGAGTCCAAAGGAAAACAATACATCATGGACCAAAGGATTAAAGTTTCCCTTTCTTTTACTCCTATTTTGTGGGAGACCAAAGAACATTTCCTAGCTTGAAATATGGAAGAAGAAATTGTCGACCCAGAAAGAATGATCAAGATCTGAGATATGCAAATAACTTTTATTTTACTAATTATGACAAGTACTTAAAAGTACCAAGCTCTGCAGTTCTCCTAGTAGTTAACTGTAAGTAAAAAAACCCACACCACTTAAAGAAAATAATACACATGTCCTACCAAACAACTACTGACATCAACGCTAAATCCGAAGTCTAACAGCCCTGTCTTGACTAAATTGCCAAAAGCTAATAAGAAAGGTGAAATGCCCATAATTCAGAAAAGCATGTTGGGCACAAGGCAAAGAAAGATTGCCTTTGGATAGGTCACTATTGAATTATTCTTAGAATGAGGCTGGATGAATTTACAACACAGGTCAATTCTAGGTGGAAATGAAATGCTTATTTTTAGAACCAAGTGTGATACAGAAATCCCATTGACTAGACTGAAATTTGCAAAGAAATAGTTTATTTGCATCCTCTTTTATTGCATAACATAAAATGACCTCTTACACTACTCATTTTGTTGCTTCAGTATCTATACTGATATGTGGCCATAGGCCAGGGCATACAAACCCTATTCAGATATGGATGAGAATGACTATTCACTAAAACAAAAGATAGGTATAGCATGGAGAGATTACCTGCCAAGGCTGCAGATCTGGAAATTCAAACACTGGAATTTCTCTTTGTCTGAATCTTGATCTCACTATCTCCTGCAAAGAATGTGCCACCGCATAAACAGCATTGTAAATACTATAGCTGTGGCCAGTCATCTGCAACTCAAAGAGAGGCCCAGGCAGATCCTCCAAATTCTCTTCTCCGCTACAACTTTCATTGATCTTTGAGGCTGATTCTGCATTTGGAAATGAACAGTCAAACAATTGTTCCCAAATGTCTCGAACAAATCCATCTTTATAGGTTGAAGGTTTGATGACTTGAAGAAATTCTTTGAACCCTTGAACTTCTCTTGTATGAACTGTAAAGGAAAGAGCCCCGTGGAACATCCCGAGATCCCAACCCCTTTGAATTCCTGTCAGTATGAAATCAATCGGGTTCATCAGGATCCAAACCTTTCCAAATGATGCACTCTCTTTATTTTCAGGATCGCATAGAAACACAATGCTTCTGAGCCACAGAATTGTGAATGATTCTCCATAGACAAGAAAAACATTTGCTTTCTGATCTATCAATTTATTAGAAATAATTAAGATTTCATCAATCAATTCTGACACATATTCCAACTGGGCTTGTTGTGGAATTTTTTGTGTGAAAGCTAAACAGATGCCATTCTGGGAAAGTAATGGCTGCAGTTTCTGCAAGAAATGTTCTCTCTTATTAGTATCAAAAGTAAAGACTCCAATCCACGTCCATCCAAAATGGAGAAGAAGTTGTAGAACTCCAGTGTACTGATGGTCCTCTTTTGGGACCATGCTGTAAAGTGGAGAGAACCTAGTAGTCTGAAACTCTTGTTGGGAAAAAGAGCTATAGGTCAACTAAACAAAACGAAGGAAAAAAAATAGAGGTGGGGAGAGAGAGAGTTGTTATTCATGAGAATCCAGGGAAAAATATGGAAAAATGATGGCTGGATGGGAACTCAGTGAAGATGTCCCTACACTGAAAATTTCTCCAATTCTAATACAGTATAGCAGTTCTGCTAAACTGTAGAAGCAACTGAAAACCAAAGATAAAATGTTTTCTCACTTGTGGAATATAACTGCATCACAAACCAAAATTAACTTCCTAATATAGAGTTCCAGAATGCTCATCAACATTAACACCTGGAAATCTGCTAACTCTCTGAGCATGTGAACTCTTCCCAGCCTAAGGCAAGAATTCTTCAGAGCTAGACCTATTGGATTACCTTCTGCCTTTCTCTGTGGCAGATATAATAAAAAACCTATCCATGAAAGACCATCTCCATGAGAATCTGGAGAAATAGAAATGTCCTCCTTTACTGCAATTATTACAGAGATCTCCAAAATTCTCCAACAATTTCCCGGCAAAACAATTGAGGTTTTTACTAAATTATTATGATCAGACCCAAACCAAGACATAGCAAGGAGACTTGCTACCTATTGCCGGCAGGTGGTAAAAACACAATGTCAGTTGACCTCCTCAAATGAGTTTAATTTTGTTGTTCTGTAATTTATGTTTTAAATTTTCATTTTCTGATCTATGATCATAATAGAGGATTTTGATGTTTTGGATGGATTACCTTGAGCCAACTTATTGAGTTGTGGGAAATAATCTGCAGAAAGACATAGTAAAAAACCAATCTCTAATATTAACTACAAAAGAAGTCAATGTTTCTCTCTCACCCCCCTGCCTGAAGTACCTGTGGAATCTTGTAGACATTTATGGTTTCTGCCATATAGGATGAAGTATCAGAGACAAGTGCTCCAATGATGGCCATGAGATTTTTCTGGCAATCACATTTGTAGTTAGGGACAAATTCCTTGGATTTGAAGAGCAGGTCCAGAGTGGTGCGGTAGGTCATCCTTGGACTGTAGTAACTGTCATAGATGTGGAAC